TGTAATATTCAGTATGGGGACTACAGATCAGAATACTGTATTACATAGTTGAAAGTTGCTAAGAGAGTAAATCTTAAATGTTCTCATCACAAGGAAAGAATTCTGTGCCTACATATGATGATGGATGTTAACGACTTACCGTGGTGATCATTTCACAGTATATACAAATATCGAATCATTACGTTGTACACCTAAAACTAATAGAATGTTGTATGTCAGGATTACCTCAGTTTTTAGAAAAGAAGGAAAAAGAAGTGGGGTGGGGGAGGGAGCCCTTAGTAGGATAGAGATTTAAAAGTCTATACAACCCCGTCCTTGGGGATGAGGTCTTGCATTGAGTATTCTGCCCTCCAGAGATGCTTCTGGAAGTAAAGAGATGAGGCTTAAGGGATGCCATGTTTTAAGCCTTTCAGTTTGAGTGCCAAATACCTACCCTTTGAAGTGAAAGCTTTCTAAATGTATGAACTCTCACGATCCTGTTTTCAAAAGTCAATTGACTAAATTTTAGAACCATAAAATACCCCAGGCCACTTAGTCATTACTGCTCAGCACTGATCCTTCCTCGCCACTACAAAATATCAAAGACCGGGGCGCCTGGGTGGCTGAGTCGGTTGGGCGGCCGACTTCAGCTCAGGTCATGATCTCACGGTTTGTGGGTTCGAGCCCCGTGTTGGGCTCTGTGCAGACAGCTAGCTCAGAGCCTGGAGACTGTTTCAGATTCTGTGTCTCCCTCTCTCTCTGACCCTCCCCTGCTCACGGTGTCTCTCTCTCTCAGAAATAAATAAAAAACATTAAAAAGAAATATCAAAGAACGCATGCTGACTGTGTGTGTGTGTGTGTGTGTGTGAGAGAGAGAGAGAGAGAGAGAGAGAGAGAGAGAGAGATCTTTGAACCTGGGTCTACTGGTATAGTGCACCGAGCATGAAGATTGGCATGTGAAGCTGAGGAGAGAAACACAGGAGCGTGGAGTAGAGAACAGAGGATGGAAACAGCGAGGCCAGCACTTCAGGAGCCATTTGCCCCCACAAGGCTCCGGACCGCTTGTCCCTGGGCCTGTCTGGCTGCAGCCGGTTGAGAGATGCCAGGGACCAAGCGGAGCCCCGACAGCCTGGCAGCGGCCTGTCTGCACCGAGCACGGGGCCCCGGGTGGCGTGTGGCCCCGAACCTTCCGTAGGTGCCGCCGCGGTCTTTCCCCAGCCAGCCGAGCACTGAATTCAGACGCGAGGCCGAGGTGTCAGCCTGGACTCTACCCGGGGAGTTGCCTTTGAATCCAGGATCTGAGCTCCACTTTTCCCGGGCAGCGGCACTGACTCGCTGTTCAGAGCAGCCTCGCCCCTCCCGCCTGGGGAAGGCGCTGGCCGCCTGGGGGGCTCTGGCTTTGCACTCAAACACATCAGAGCAGCCTGGGGGTGGGGGGAGGTTCTCCCCCTTTTCTGTTTTAAGAAATTACCAAAAAAGAAAAAAAAAAAAAAGTCTAGGGAGTGCAGAAGAATGGAAATAGCACCAGCCTGGGAGTCAGGAGTCCTGAGCGCTTTGTCTCAACAGCATTGACCTTGGGTAATCCATTGAGTCTATACTCTGACCCGCTTCCACCGACTGATACCACACTTGCTCCTCACGGATAATGAGAAGGTTAAAGAAGACAGTGTGTGTGTGTGAGTGCTTTGGAAACCCTGAATCCTATGTACATGCAAGGTGGCACTGTCCGCAATAGTAATAATGGAGTGCCCATCTCTGAGAATTACCGTAACTATTTTGTACTAATCACCTTCAAAGAAAAACAGGATTTAAAAAAAAGAGAATATATCTAATTGAATCTATCTTCATAAGGCCTATCAACTTTTAACTGTCAGCTTCACATGAAAGAAAATAGGTATTTTTCCCAGCCCGCATTTCAAAAAGAAGACATTTGCTATCATTAAGTAAGAGTTTATACCTCTATTATTATACTGCCATGCTGATTATATTCCTGTTGTAGAATCAATGGATGATTTTAGGGGGAAAACTTTAATAATACTGATTTTTACACTGCCAGGGATAGCTGCTATTTACTGAGTTCTGACCATGGGAAGTGGGGGAGAAATAATGCTTTGTTCAGTGCAACTTTTCAAGTTAACTGGTTTTACTTCCTTGAGAAAACTAAAGCTCAGAGAGGTTAATTCACTGCTAGGATAAAAGTTAACTGGCAGAGAGCTCTAGATTTGAATTCAGATCACTCTCGGTCTAAAATGTGTGTTTTTCTTTTGAAATAATACTCTCTCTGAGTTATGTTACAGCTATCATCAGTAAAGCAAACTGCAACGTTCATTTTAAATTTATTTTTTAATATTTATTTTTGAAAGAGACAGACAGACAGACACAGCATGAGCAGGGGAGGGGCAGAGAGAGAGGGAGACACAGAATCCCAAGCAGGCTCTAGACTCTGAGTGGTCAACACAGCCTGACACAGGGCTCAAACCCATAACCGTGAGATCATGACCTGAGCCGAAGTCGGACGCTTAACTGACTGACCCACCCAGGCTCCCCTGCAGCATTCATTTGAGACCATTAAATTAGATGAACAAGTAATTTACATTTTTAAAAGTAAAAATTTTTTGATGTGGATAGATTTATTGATATCCAAAAGGGTTTCAGGAAATGAGTCTTGAGGTTCTGACATCCCACCAACAGCCAAGGTACAACCTGTATTTATGTCACCACACTGACCTGGCTTCAAATGACCCTCAAGAGGGAGGGTTGGGAATTTGCTACTGCAGAAAAGAAAAATCGGGCGTGTGGGGGAGGGCTCTTTTCTCTAAATGTTTACTTTGATCATTGGTCTCTGTGTTAAATTACACATTCAGTCAAGTGTTTTCTTTTTTTTTTTAATGTTTTATTTATTTCTGAGAGAGAGAGACAGCGTGAGCAGGGGAAGGGCAGAGAGAGAGGGAGACACAGAATCTGAAGCAGGCTCCAGACTCTGAGCTGTCAGCACAGAGCCCCATGCGGGGCTCGAACCCACGAACCATGAAATCATGACCTGAGCCGAAGTCAGATGCTTAACCAGCTGAGCTACCAAGGCGCCCCAGTCAAATGTTTTAATACCTATTTTCACTCTCCATCTATGACAGTGGTCTCCAAACTGGGCCACATATCAGATCACATAGTAAGTTTTTTAAAATGCAAATTTCAAGGCCCCTGCCTAGACCTATTGAGTCTGGCGATATCTCTATTTATGACATTCCCCACAGCCATTTCTGATTTAGCTAGTTCTTTGAATCACTGATCTGTTGTGATTTACGACCTTTCAGAGTTGATTTTTGTTTTTAATTCTAACATTAGCTGGTCATACCATTTAAATCACTTGGCTTTTTGTCAATAGTCCTAACCCATAAAAGCTATAGTTTCTGAAAAACCGCAACGTTCTGTAATTATGGCTCAATGGGTTGAAAATGGAAAACATACACATATAAAATTTTGGAGAAAAAAAAATCCTAACTGCCATCTCTTTCCCATGTTGAGACCTCATGTTGCAGCTCTATCCCAAAGTGAATTTGATGTCTGAGCCATAAAGATCTGAGAGCTCCTTGTGGGAGGGCTCTAACCGCGCTCACAGGCCATTAGAATCACCTCCTGCAGCCCCCAGCCACTTCACTAAAGACCTGCAGGCCCTCCGAGAACTCCTTGCACAAACTATCAATAATTCACTGTTTTCTAACATGAGCATTCATAAGAGATATTTTTTCCGTTATTGCTGTCAACAAAAAATTTGTTTAATAATAAACATAGATGTTATTTTTCCCATATGTTCAACAATTCATTCAGAGCCACAAATAGAAAAGAAGAATCTTACAATATATAAATAGAGGAGTAGCGTGACATCGCCAATGGCCAAGAGCATGGTTTGGTTATTAGAAAATTGCATTAACACGTGATTGCAAATATCTGCAAACTGGTCCTAAAAATAAAGAAGGTGAAAGTCACCCACTAGCTAAAAAGCCAACCAACCAATAAAAAGCATTCAGGTACAATTTGGTGTAAAATGTATTCTAAGAAATATCTTTGGTGTCCTACACGTTTAACATTGGTTCTAGAAAAGTGAAGCAAAGTTTATTGTTCTCTTGTATTATTTCCTTTCTGAAAAGCATACTTTTAGGTGGAGCTTTTTAAAAATAATTATCCCATCAGCCCACTAGCATATATCTTTCTTACCTCAGGGCAAGGAGTGTAGTGACAGAGGAGTTTAAATGAAGTACGTATGCCTTTATCACTATCAATGCCATTGATTTTGACCTAGGAAACCAAACCGACTTTTAGTGGCCAGCTGAAAAATTGGCCAGTTAAAAAGTTCATGCTCTCATCCAGCCTTTTAGGCAGCGAAGGTTAGATCTAGACACGGTTTAACTGGACCGAGAAAGAGCGGGTCCATGTGAAAGCTACATATGAACACTGGGTACATATATGCTAGTAACGGAATAGCAGAGCATGATGCTTCATCAGAGCAAATACAGTCCCAAATTATTCCTGCTTTTTGGGAATGTATGAACTCGATCAACTTGGAAATCAGGCTCTCATCAAGGTTTTTCCTTCTTCCTCTCCTTTTTGAGATCCATAGAGGAGAAATCACAGATTAGGAGTCAGTATTCCATAGGTTTTACCCCCTATAACTGTTACAACATTCAGTTCTTGGAATGATGGGCAATTACAGTTAGAAGTACTGTTTTTTCTTGAGAAAACTTTCATAGGAATGAAAATTTAATCCATTCCTGTGATTAGGTTTCTATAACATTCTCGCATGTTTTTGTATGGTCTTAGGAAGAGAGGATATACATGAATTTTATTTTTTTAAGCAAAACAAAACAGGCAATCTAATGAACTTTCACAGGCCAGCATCGATTTATGCAAGTAACACAGAGGGTCTTGTGTATGGTGAGTAAGTTTTGTGCAAATGACACTTGCTGGTGATTTTTTATAGTCTTATTCTAAAGAAATCTTTGTCCTGTGTTGTCTTCCTTTAACAGCCCACTTTTCCTGTGGGTCCCGCAATAGGGACAAATACGGCGATTAGCTTTGCTCCTTACTTAGCACCTGTAACCCCTGGAGTTGGGTTAGTCCCAACGGAAATTCTACCCACCACACCTGTTATTGTTCCCGGAAGTCCACCCGTCACTGTCCCGGGCTCAACTGCAACTCAGAAACTTCTCAGGACTGACAAACTGGAGGTACTTCAATTCTATTTGTGGTCTGAGATGCATCTGGGGTAGAAGTGCACTTCTGTGTAAGTGAATGCTTATAAGATATTAATTCAGTCTTGCGAAACAGCCATGCGCGCACACACATACACACATTCATCTAAAAGCCATGCATTCGTAATTCTGTGGTTTCAATTTAAGGCAAAGTATAAAGGAAATTAGTCTGTAGGGAGAGAATTAATTTAGTGCAAACAAAATTCAACTGTTTGGAATGTGTGTTCAGGGGCAAAATATTTAACAACCAGTGGAACACTGACTCAGTCACTGTGTAGGCCATAGAGATGACTCCTGAAGGCCTCCAGCTGGGCCAGGAATTAACCTTTGATGGCTTCTGGAAAGGTCTGAGAATGGGCAAGTCAGAAGCCCAGCAGGCAGGGCATTGGGGACACCTGGACACAGAGGTAGGGGTAAAAGGCACTATGACTCTTGACCACTTGGTATGATCACATTTCAATATTATAAGAGCTAGTATGGTTATGTTGGAATGTTCCGGAATATAGCCCTGGTTGTACTGTTGGTAAACAGGGGAACTGGAAGCTGGGCGTATTAAGTTATTGACTGAGATATTTTGTTTAACTTAAGTTCAAGTGTTCTATAAAGGTCAAGAAAACAGGTTCATAAAATTATAGAACATAATTCTTAAGTCATGAGTCAAGCCAACACTTACTGGGTAAAATTTCTCTTTAATCAGAGTTAGAGGATTTATCTTAGCTACTGCGTCCCATGATATTTAATAGAGCATGTTATGCAGTAAAGATTCTGATAGATTTTTTAAAGAGCTCCTTTAATTCCATTACCGGTTCAAGTTGTTAGGTGGTGTACGTATGGTCAGGATGCCCACAGTGCTTTACGTTGGATCACTGGAGAATGTTCTTTCAGTTGTGCATTTGTTTAAGTATTTACGCAATAAATCTTGAGGGCAATAAAATGTTGCTGCCTGATCTCACTTCAATCTGGAGCATATGGATCTCAAAACGAAAGGACTAAAGACCCTAACACGGCTGTTTTGATCTAGCCGGCCCCTGTGAATATAGAGCAGACCTTTCATGGTCTAGAAAAGTGTTTGGGGCTCCACCTGCTGGAATCCTACTCCACAGTCCTCTGCGTGACTGTGTGGTTTAGAAAACAAATTGTATCGGCCAAGTTGGGAACAGATCGTCCTCCCCAACAGGACTGGTAGACAGAGACCTAGAAAAATAATTTACAATGACTTTAGCAGGCCTTTGTGCAGCTCATTTCAAGCCAGGAACGAAGCCGGCTGCACACAGAGACCCTTGGTAAATGCTTGACGGCTAGTCTGCATGCACCTTTGATGGTCTCAGCCTGCAGGATTCCATTTAGGGATGGAGGCTTACTCAGAACTGATGGGAACATCTTAGTAATTTTTATGTTGAGCATTTTATGAACTGAAGATCGGAGTATTGGCTTATATCCAAAGCAGGAGGAAACAATGAGCAATCCTGTGACTTATCTGTTTCCCCTTCAAATCCTCTTGGCAGGATTTGGTCAGCAAAACTGTATTTCCCAAGTAAGTTTGACTTTCACAAAGCTTGACAGTCACGTCAGTGACCCTTCATATAACCTCACTGATGGCCGAGACGCCAAATTTTGCTCGTAGTTCTGTCCTGCTAATGATACTTATAAATATAAGTTATGTCTATAGGTCATTTGTGTCATTTAATATTATTGATATCCAGGGCATAATTAAGAATATGCTCTAAATTCTAAACAAAACTTTCTTTATACGGTAAACTCTCGATGCACCGGAATTCTTAAATGATGGAGCATTCCAGTCACTCAAGACTTTAGGGTAACTAAGGATTAAGGACTAAAAAAGCGACAGCAACAACAGAGGAGTACTTCAAACTCTATTCCTACTTCCCTCCACTTATTGCTTTCCCTTTATCTTTTCCCATATTTCTCTCCTTTTTGTCTTTATTTTTTTTTATCTTCTTTCTGTGCTATCAAAAATAGTAGTAGAGTGACCTTAAATGCAAGATTCAACGTCTTAGACACTATTGCCCTGACTTATGATTATAAGTGTAAGTTATCTTTTTAGAGCCGGGGAGTCCTAGGGGGAAACAGGAGTATTCAGATTCACCCCACCCACTTCCCATCCTCAGGGAGGGAACAAGCTTATTTCCCCCAATCCCTCCTGGAGTTGTACAGCTGTGACCTGGTGGCCTGATCTGTGATGAAATGACCCCTCCGTGCCAAAAAACCTATGGCGTCACCGAGTTGCCAGAGTAGGAAGAGATTTGGATGTGCGTAGAGATGTCCAAATTATAGACTGTATATCAGTCAATACATATATTATATCCTGATTATTAGAGATGTATACACCAGCCCAGAGACAAATGGGGGCTTTGCTGATTTTTGTCATTTCAGCGAATACCGAGGATTTTTGACTCATTTTCTCAACACAGTGTGCCGCCCCAGAAAAGAGGGCGACACAAAATCCAAATTAGTTTGTCAGGGACTCTGGTTACTTGAGCTCTGCACAATCAAATTTTTAGTGAAATGGCACGAAAGCCATCATTAAAAGAAAGGAAAAGCATTTATCCCCCCCCCCCCCCCCCCCCCGCATTAACCTAAATGATGGCTGCGCTCGCAGAGGTAGTTGTTGCCGGCGGCCATCAGCCTTTCTTCTGCATCGTCTGCTTCTCTCCCCTGTGTCCTAGGTATGCAGGGAGTTCCAGCGAGGAAACTGTGCCCGGGGAGAGACCGACTGCCGCTTTGCACACCCCGCAGACAGCACCATGATCGACACAAACGACAACACCGTAACCGTTTGTATGGATTACATAAAGGGGCGTTGCATGAGGGAGAAATGCAAATATTTTCACCCTCCTGCACACTTGCAGGCCAAAATCAAAGCTGCGCAGCACCAAGCCAACCAAGCGGCGGTGGCCGCCCAGGCAGCCGCGGCCGCGGCCACAGTCATGGTAAGTGGGGCGCGCGCGCCGCGCACCTTCCTCCGCCCGGGAGCGCGCGGGCCCGGGAGCCCCCGCGGGGTTCAGACGCTCTCCCGAACGATCGGGACCTAGGGAAGGCTGCTACTCCTGCTGCTCCGCTGCCTAAGTTCTGTTGTGGTTCCCCCCCGTTTTGTTTTGTTTTGTTTTGTTTTGTTTCCCCCTCCTTCCCTTCTCCAGCACAATAAGTAAATCCCTCAGGCGCAGGGAACCCCTCGAGGCGTCCGCCCGCGGCCAGTCCTGCTGCGAGTCTGGCCTGCGCCGGCCGCGGCCCCTCCCCGGAACGGGCTCCGCGGCCGGTGGCCACCAGAGCTTAGCCTTAGCCGAGGCGAGTAGAGCTGAGCCCTGCTGAGCCGGACCCGGAGCCGGGAGGCTGGCAACAGGTGACCAGGCTCTTCCTACCCCTGATTCCCTCCCCCCTTCAAGCCCCGCCCCCCACAAATGCAATTGTGTGCAGAGCATCGAGTCACGAAACAGATGAAAATGCGCTGACTGGTGCTTTAGAAAGGAGTGGGGGTGGGGGCCGTAACACAGCCTGGAGTCCCTGAGTCACTGTACTGTCCTTAGAGACCAGCTGTCCCTGCCGCCGCCGCCTCCTCCTCCTCCTCCTCCTCCTCCTCCTCCTCCTCCTCCTCACCAAGGCTGGGGAGCCTGTTACAGCTCGACTCGCAGGCCCCACCCCAGACCTTTGGGATCCGAATTCTAATTCTAAAATATGCTCAAGTGTTCTGCATCCACACGAACAGTTGACAGGCACCTGCCTGGAACACTGGTTCTCAAACTGGGCTCTATTTTGGAATTACCCGAGGGGCCCTGAAAGGTTCCGACATCAGTCTCTTCCCCCTAGAGTCTCTTATTTAATTCATCTGGGTGTGGCCTGGGCAGCGGCCATATTTTGGGAACTCTCATGGCAGTCCCCTGTGCAGCACACTAGGTTGTAGAAATTTCTAGTTAATTTGTTTTAACGTGAGGTCTCTGGCTTGTCAGAAGCCTATTTTAGTATATGATAGACTCTGTGCATTCACTCATTCTTTCACTCATTCATTCAAAACATTTAAATTCTTTTAACGTTTATTTATTTTTGAGAGACAGAGCACAAGCATGGGAGAGGCAGACACACACACACACACACACACACACACACAGAATCTGAAGCAGGCTTCAGACTCTGAGCTGTCAGCACAGAGCCCGGTGTGGGGCTCAAACCCATGAACCATGAGATCATGACCTGAGATCGGAAGCTCAACCGACGGAGCCACCCAGGTGCCCCGAAACATTTAATGAGACCTGCCGCGCAGGAGACACTTGCTCGTAGCATACGTACAATAAGCAGGCTTCCTTCCCCTCCAGGAGCTTGGAGTTCAGTAAGTGAGAGCCACATTGCTCCTCAGTGAAGATGGAAATGCATAATGGGGTCCAGTGCAGAAGGAAAGACTGACTGGCCAGTCCTCCCTTGGAAGAGACAGACAGCTTCAGAGGTGAAGAGTGTACTTTACAACACCGTATTCTAACCAGCAGCCGCCACCTCAGACTTGGATAACTGATCAAAATGCAAGCGTAGCTGTTAGGCATAAAAAGTTCCTGTTATTCAACATTCTTTCCCCAAATGTTTTCAAAGGCCTGGCCCCGTGAGGGCCAGGGACACAGGGAGAAAGGCACAGAGCCTGTCCTCACGTGATTACCACTTAGTGCACCACGTGTGGCTATACAGACCCTTCCGATCTGATCCTGTTTCCAAGCATCCTGAGTACTGGTCCTCCATGTCTCTCACGGCTTCTCCTCAGAGCCTCTGAGGCTTTGGTGCTTTTTCCTCATGTCTCCTTAGTCTTACATCCCTGGACAGAACAGTGATTTTTCTGAATGTGTGAGTTTCTATATATACGCACAGGTGTATGCAACCACAAGAGAGAGAGAGCCTGTCGTACAATATAGACAAATTCGCCCTCTCTCTTGTTCTAGTAAAAGAGCAGGTTTGCAAAACTGATTATAATTGGGAACAGGGGGCAGGGAGGAGAGTAAATTAGTTACTTAATGCTGATGAGAAAGGAACTCTTCTTGTGAGCATTTCTCCAATGTGGCATCTGTCTTACCATCCTCTTAGTGAAGATCTCATTCTATAAGAAGCAAAACTTGGGGTGCCTGAGTCGTTCAGTCTGTTAAGTGTCTGACTCTTGATTTCAGCTCAGGTCATGATCTTATGGTTTGTGGGATCGAGCCCTGCTTCGGGCCTGTGCTGGCAGAGAGCCTGCTTGGGATTCTCTCTCTCTCTCTCTCTCTCTCTCTCTCTCAAAAATAAATAAACTTAAAAAAAAAGAAGTAAAACTGTTTCCATTGCGATCATTATTTTAGGCCAGCCCCAATTTACCCTAACTGGTGTACTGACTGTTAGGCCCAAATAACACTTTTTCCTCTGCACTAATATTATAGATCATAACTGGGTACCAAGGATATCCCGAAGGCTAGTCAGGACTGTGGTTGCAAGAGACATAAAAACTTTGGACTTCATGTGATGCCCTCCAAAGGGAGTCGAAGTAAAACAGAGATGAGGATGCCTGCATCTACGGCAGTTCTAATTAGAAAGACTAAAGAAGCAGTTAAAGGTCATTTTGGTGGCTTCATGGTTAGAGTAAGAGCGTGCTATGGTTGGCTCAGCCTAGGTCACAATAGCCATCTCTGGCCACTGGGGTATGAGATGAGGTTCTGGGAATATGAAAAAAATAGTCCCTGTACTTCTTTTTTTTTTAATTTTTTTAATTATTTTTGAGAGAGAGAGAGAGAATGTGAGTGGGGGAGAGGCAGAGAGAGAGGGAGGCTCCAGGCTCTGAGCTGTCAGCACAGAGCCCAACTGGGCCTCGGGCCCCTGAACCGTGAGATCATGACCTGAGCTGAAGTCGGGCGCTTAACCGACTGAGCCACCCAGGTGCCCCATTCCCTGAATTTCAAATACCTGTGGATACAAGCCACTGGTACTAATAGCGACCTTAGGACTGAGCCCTGAATTTATCTGAGCCTTGATTGTATCTGGCTGTTTATTAGAAGTATCAACTATAATATATAGAGATAGAGATAGAGATATCTATAGATACAGAGATATAGAGATATATAGGTATATATATCTATATGTATAGATATAGAGATACAGAGATATAGATTTCAATCACTGAAGGAACAGTGAAGCCACTTTATGTCAATGGTAGGTGACTTGGGTTGATGGGGATAAGAGAAGAAATGGCCATTTACACAAACATGTCATTCCTCAGCTTAGTATTTTAAAATCAAGACGACTTCTCTGTGTGCCCTTCCCCGTGCCCTTCTGTGCATTTTCATATCACACTCATCAAGACGCATAGAGATATTGCAGTGGATGTCAGTGTACGTAGTTACTGTAGTTTCCCAGAGGGTTACACTGTGCCCAAATTTGGAGTTCTGATATTTCAGGGGATCTTTCGGGCGATCTTGCAACATTGTCAAAGACAACCCAAAGGAACGTAGCTTCAGAACAAAAGCCAGCGTCTTTCTGACAATGACATGAAAATTATTGAATCTGTCATATCTTTTTAGTTGAAGTGAGAGGCTCATTTGAACCCACTGAGATGCAGTTGTTGGATGAAGTCAAAGTATTCTTACGCTAGGAGCAAGATTGCTCAACACACTGAAAAATACCTCTTATTTTATTTCCTTATTTAAAAGAACAAATGAGAGTGATGAGTGCAGTCAGAAGATATTAATATTCCATTCACCTGGGTTCCATATCTGAACACAAAGAATTTCTATAATGCAATTTGTATTATTGTCCAGGGACTTCCCCTTCTTTTGATTAATTGGACGCTGAAACACATTTAAAGCTTTGATTCCAGAAAAGGAGACATTTAATTCCTTTAGAGCCTTCTTCTTTTACAATATGTCTTAAAACGTGAGCCTCATCCTCACCAGAATTTTTTTTAAATGTGAAAATAAGGCAGACAGAACTTCTGTTTGGTAATTTTCACACAAAGGATATCTGATCTTTAAGCAAGCAGTCTTTCTTCACATCCTACAAAATGGGGCTACACGGGAGATTCCTGTTTTGTGAAAGGAAACGGGGCCGCTGTCATCAGTGAGATAAGTTTCAACTGTTCAAGAAAACATGCACAGCAACTTTGAATTCCACACTATTTGTCTGCATCCCCTTCTTCCACGTTAAGATGGCAGTTCTGATTATCGTCACCAGGGTTTTCTGACTCTGAGGACAGAGTTGGTCTTTGCCCACAATGCCCGGCATGGGCCCTTGGCTGGCATGCACTGACTCACGGTTGGGTTGTTCTTTGATCCAGAGAAAGAACTATGTGGCTGGATGTACCCAAACTTGGAGGTGGTCCAGAAAGGGCAGAGGGTCCAAAACGTTGGTGAGGCCAGCAAAAAATGGATGCCAAGTGTTCGCCACATAGTAGAGGCCCAACTAAAGAACTTCTTTCTCTGCTTAAGGACCTAAGGAAGCTCCCATGATCCGCCAAGCTTGTTGGTCTCTAAGGTCGAGTCTAAGCCTGAAGACCTTTCAGTGTAGGTAAACACAGGACAGCAGTCAAGTCATTGCTCTAAAGCAGAATATCTGTGTACCACAAATCCATATTATAATGTGGTTATGAATCCACACGGATTTTTTTAAACTACATTCTACACGTGTGTTTCAAAGCATAAGGTGTGCAAGATCCTAATATGTATGCCCAACCTTCGAAAACTTACTGTTTCCAGGAAAAGACATGATATAGAGGCCCGTGGGTGGCTCAGTCAGTTAAGCATCTGACTCTTGATTTTGGCTCAGGTCATGATCTTACGGTTCGTGGGTTCGAGCCCCACTTCGGACTCTGTGCTGACAGTGCAGAGCCTGTTTAGGATATGTCTTATTTCTTTGTAAATAAATATAAACCTTTAAAAAAAGGAAAGAAAAGACACAATATTTTTGTCTAGTAAAGATAACCCACAGTATGCAGGGGGAGAGAAGGAGATGGTGTTGCTGGCCGGCTCAGTTTAGAGCCCTCAGTGTTCTGACATTCCTAAGTTATTCTGACTTCTGTGGACATTAAGTTTCATCAGTCTAAAATCAGAAAAAAAGAGCATTAGCCTTCCAGGTGATTATCTTAGGGAGACATATTTAATATTTCTTCTTCTACTTGGAGACCTCATTGAATGATGCTTTGTTAAATCAAAATTTCATTCATAAATGCCAGTCTTTGGAGACATAATCACTCTTGCAGTTAGCACAGCAGACAAAATCAACCCGACATTACATTTGCTCTGGAACTCCCAAGGACTGGAAACAGGGGAGAGCAGAACAGAGTCCAGGAAGTTGAGACCAAACTGATTGTGAGTTTGTGTACTCAGTGCACTCTGTGAGAACGGGCTGTGCAGCCTTATATAGTTAGCACAGATGAATCTGAGCTTGAAGAAACGCATTATTTAGCAGTGTAAAAACTCTACAGCAACCCAAGTTCTTAAACTAATGTGGTGTCATGGAAGTTACATAATGGGGGATTTACATCTGAAGAAAGAACATCTAGTGCAAAGAAGTTTTCTTATTGTGGGGCTCTCTGGGTTTTAAAAATGTTGCAATTCTACTTCCAGAACACTGATTTTATATTATTTAATGGCCTCTCTTAAGACTGCCTTCCAAAACATTTCTCTGTTGGACGTTCTAAATCTCTTCTCTGCCTTCAGTCCTTTCCATATCCACTTTGTTGCTGCCTACCTTGCCCATCTTTACCTCCTGGCATCTCTATACTTTTGATCTTGAATCATCAAATGATGATGAAAAGGCCTTTATTTGCAGAAAACAATATCATTAATTGTTTCCCATTTTTGAGAGTTTAGTACTATCTCATTTTATTGCAAATGCCATGATTCCAACTCCGAACTTTAGAATATCACGTTTTGTATTGATTACACAAACCTTAGGGATTTACCTATTGTGCTACCCATAAAAAAGGGGGTATTTCATTTTTTATTTGCATTGGAGCTATTCCTTTTACTTTATTTTTATTTTCACAGAATTCCATCATAGAATTTTCCATTTTTTACAGCAGTGATCCAGGACTAGGAAAATTTTTTCGCTATGGTCTAAATCAATCAATATTTGTTATTATTTCAGCTGCTTAAATGAGACAGTCTGCCCCAAAATATGGTTATAAGTTAAAAATATTATTTTACATCTAATATATCAAGCAGTCCTTCGCTATTTTTTTTTTTAGCTGTTTGCTCTTTTTAGCTGTCGTAACTTGTTCTAGCCACGATTTCCACTTCTCATTAACTGGGTTGGTCACTGATTATAGCTGAAATTACGAATAGAATTATTAAATATAAATTAGTCTGATACCTGAGAACACTAAATACCTTTTTAAAGGGTATTTTCTTAGCCTAATCCGGTAAGTTGTTTGAGATAAACTGAATTATGATTTCAAATGTAGTAGAAAACATAGAATGGATGATAAGTTAGTCATTAGAAACAGTAAAATGGGACGAGAGTGGGAAATTTGAGAAACTTACGATTCAAATTCAAAACTTGTTAAGTTTGGAACCTTGTTCCGCATTGCAAGATCCATGCTAGCAGAGTGAAGAGAAGAATTGAGACAATTAGCCACGTGATTCAGACAAAAAATTAAGATCCAAACCCAAACAGTTTCGCCTCAATAATCTTGTGTTTGAATATTTTTTTGCCTGAATTTTTTGTCTCAGTTTGCCACTTCATTTTGTTAGGCTAGATCTTCGTTACCAGCTATTTTTCTAAAAGTTAAAGATGATATCTTTTTTTCCGACTTGGATCTTCTACTTAGTATATTTGTTATTTTACGTTTGAAAACTAACTTATCAGAAGTTCATCAGTCCTATGGCCCTTGAAAGTTTTGCATTTTTTTCCTGAAGCAATATAAAAAATGCTTATGGTGTGTATGCAAGCTGCTGTTTTAATTAACTTTCCTGAATTTCAAACATCTATATTTTACTCTCTTATATGCTTTTAACTAAGGTATAGTAGATGCATTTTTGCTTCAATACTAATTTAAGGTGTAATATTCATTTCTTTAGAGAACATTTTTGTTGTTGTGCATGCCTAGTGTTTTGTACGTTGTATATTGCATTCAGAATATTTTTTTCCTTCTCACCTATCCACAATGCAATGCCGTTCCCATGATGCACCTCTGCTTGCTGTTTACCTGTATGTTAATTCGCTTGAATCCCATTGGCCCACTGCCATCATGTGCTCGCTGCCTGTTATTAAAAGACTCAGTCGACTGCCAAAGCAATGAAGCGACCTCTCGAAGCATCTGTAGACCTGGTACTTTGACCTTTCACCTTTCGCTTTGCATGTAGCTTTTCAGAGAACCATCTGAGATTTGTATTACTTGTAAAAAATTGGTTGCAAACAATCGTTACTATTAATTAATGGAAAAAACTCAATAAGGTGTTTAGCCATCTCATTTTCATACGTAATATGTGAAATGAATTAATCCTAACAAATTTTAATACCTTTTCCAAACGAGTGAAGCAAATTTAAAGTACTTGCCTCGGAAAAATGCACATTATAATTCTTAATCCAAGAACTTGCCGTTTAGTTAACGAAGAGAATAGGTATTAATAATATAACAAATGCTTCTTTCCATCCCTTAGAATAGTTTAACTCGTTTTAAAAGCTTTTTTTTTTTTTTTTTTTTTTTTTTTTTGGTGTTGCTTGATAGTTTTTCTTTTCCTTAGTTGAGATGCTACCGTTTTGGGTGACAGAAGTCATGCTTCCGCTCTCAATAACAAAGTCTCACTCATTCGACATTGCCGCTGTTTAAATTAAGGTGCATGGCCCAGGCATCTCCTTAGCTGCCATTTTGAAAAAAAGAATGTTGGAATTGATGATCTCTGTGGACACGGCAGGTGTGGTTACTTCGAGTTATACATGTCGTATCCGATTCTTTCCTTCTAGGCCTTTCCCCCCGGTGCTCTTCACCCTTTACCAAAGAGACAAGCACTTGAAAAGAACAACGGTGCCAGCACGGTGTTCAACCCCAGCGTGCTGCACTACCAGCAGGCTCTCAGCAGCGCCCAGCTGCAGCAACACACGGCATTCATCCCAACAGGTACGTGCCCTGACAGCTCCGAGTCCTGTGTCCGTGTGCCCTTCTGGTCATGTGCTTTCTTCTCATCCCTCAAAGCTGTTCGGTGGCATCTAGTTTGCTTGTAAAGGTATAGTCAATACAGCCTGAAACTCCTCATTGTCCTAGCTGTCTAGATATACATTTACCTGGCTTGGATGATAGCGAGAGACGGTCAGGTGTCTAAAGCCAAATATTGTAGAGAGCTAAGTGTCAGAGTGAGACCAGCAGAGGCAAATAGCGGTTAGGCCTTTTGGTTTCTTGTATTTGCACATGCTGTGTACAATTTTTTATGTCAATAAGGCCTTTTTATGTGTGACCGTTGAGATTTGTCATTAACCCTGAATGACCTAAAAATAGCAATTCCAGTAAATACTAACCTTTTTTTTTCTATTCCTATTCAGAGCACTAAAAAAACCAAGGCTCTTCAAATTAAAGCAATCCTCTTCTCATATTTTACATCCATTCTCTCTCTTTCTCCATCGTTCTCAGCTTCACCAAGTGCACAAATAGAGCTCTTTTCTCAGTTTCCGAGCCAATGCCTGATAATCTTAGCTGCTAAGGTCCATTAACTGTATCATTCCACTAAGAGATGGATTATATTAATCACAGAATCTCGAAGTTTAAAGGATTCTTAGTGATCTCCTCATCCGCTCGATCGTTTTACAGATGAGAAAACTGAGGCCCCCTAAATGTGAGGTGACTTCCCAAGGTGGCACAGCTAATGAGACAAAGACCCGGTACCTAGTTTCCCTGTGACCTGTCCAACGTACCATGACGTGACACCACCTGGCTTCCGTATGTGGAGTCACAGAGTTCTCCCTTACAGCTCGGCAGACATAAAACATGAGATAAAAGTGAAGAGACAGAATGCAAAGCATGTCAACCCTCCTTTTTGTACCCACCTCCCTGACCCCAGACCTACATACACCATATACAAACACACAGTCACCATACATTGACCATGGTATTGACTTTTTAGTCTATGTTAGAAGCAGAGATAATGTTCCCAAAATAAATAAAATCTAGTGTTTAAAAAAAAATGAAGAAGAATCAGAGAGTAATGTAGGCTTTTGTGAGAAGACTATCCATTGAGTTCTTAGTTTGGAAGTCAAAATTTTCATGCCATGAGAGTGACTCGAAGGTAAATGTAGATGAACAACAATTTTATCCAAAAGAGCTTGTTAGTTCTAATCCACACGGTTGGACTTTTGGGGTTTATTTTCCATTTCTTTCAATCCTGTAGCATATCAGGAATTAACGTAGGAGGGAATAGAATCACTATTTCTATGGTATTCTTTGTATAAAAGCTACACTTCGAAATGAATTGTCAACCTGTTAACAGTATTTATTATAGTAAAGATATAAATTATGTAAGTAAAATGGTTCTTAGTGTTTAGTTTTCATATTTTACTTCCGCTCTTCTCTTACATAGATTCACAGACCTATAGAGTGAGTCTCTGTATCAGTACTTATTGGGGCTTCCCTCCTATGCGATTACAACCTTAACTAGTGACATTTCAGTGCAGGTGTAGAACAGTGGGCCGTGTAATTGCAATCCACTAGATGGAGCATGTTTGTAAAATAATTACTAGTAGGTAAACTTATCTCGAGGTCTTGTAGGATTTCTAGAAGTGTCTTATTTTATAGACCTCGTCACTAGATATTTTAAGAGAAAAAAAATCAGGGAAGAATGTACCGAGGGGTAAAACATAAAAGGACAAGTCTGTTTCTGGAGACTGGGTAATAATTTCAGAACAATTTCCTGGGAATGCCTTTGAAACCCTGGAACTTAGTCGTGTAAAAATGTGAAGGCCTCTTAACTCGCATTTAACACTTCAAGCCAGTAATGACTGCTCCGTTAAATCACTGAAAGGACCCTCACCTAAAAATATTCCACCTGGAAACCATTTAAAGACTTCCAAAGCAAGACTGGATAACATCCCTTATGCAGTGGCCTGATTATTGTTGATGAAATGATTGTATCGAGGACCGATAGGCTGTACTGGTTGCTGTGCTTGAGTACTTCTGCCCCCTGCTGGATTCTTTAAAAACTGTCCAAGTGTGTCCGGCAACCCTCAACTGTGTGGACTTTGGGAGCCAAAAAGTGGGTCCTAGCCCACTTAAATCTGTGAATTACAAGTGTTTCCATCTGTACCATGATATCGATATCATAGTGAACAACCATGTAGCTCTCGTACTCTGAAATGGTATTTCAACTTCTAAGAAGTTTTCGCATGTTTTTCTTAAATGATGAAAGAGAAAATAATTTTCTCACAAGGCAATTAGCGTAATCTCTCCCCCACTTAAATCTAGAACAGAAATTTTAGTGTTTATCTTGGCTCTAGTTTTTTACTTCAGGCTTTCTTTCTCATAAACCACATTTTCAACTTAATTTTAAAATGGTAATGATAATGATCATTGTGAATCACTGTTGTCTTCAATGTCTGCAAATTAAGTGATGATGTTCAAAAATAAGTTTTGTAACTTGGTAGATGGGTGGGCCCATTATTTTTAACATGACAGATTTTGGCTTTTCTATAAATACTTTATATTAATATTTATCATATATATGAAACAAAAAGCACTCCGTGTTCTCCTGGAGGCCACCCTTTACTAAGAAGTCATTCATAGTACAATTTTGGGATTTTTTTTTAAAGAATTTTTTAATGTTTTTTATTTATTTCTGAGAGAGAGCGAGAGAGAGACAGTGTGAGCATGAGCAGGGGAAGGTCACAGAGAGAGAGACACAGAATCCGAAGTAGGCTCCAGGCTCTGAGCTGGCAGTCAGCACAGAGCCCGACGCGAGGCTCGAACCCACGAACCATGAGCTCATGACCTGAGCCGAGGTCAAACACTTAACCAACTGAGCCACCCAGGTCCCTGGGGGTTGTTGTTTTTTTTTTTTTAAGATCCCTAAATTTTATTTTTTCTTTTTTCCCACCGAGGTATAATTGACACAGAACACTCTATCAGTTTCAGGTGTACAGCATAATGATCTGATATTTGTATACACTGTGAAATGATCACCACACTATGTCTACCTACCATTTGTCACCCATAGCGAAGTTTTTTGATCTGGTACTAAAACTCTCCCGTTGACACAGTATGAATTTGGATTTTACAAATTCTGCCTCCAGGCTATGGAGATCATAATGTAAAATATCATGCAAAACATGAGATTCTTCTCCCAAACCACGCTAATATAATTATCACCTTGGTTGATGCCCTAGCACGTTTGTGGTGGGTGGGACTTTTCCTTTTCTCCTTTTTTTTTGGATAGGGATTATTTTAATCTAGCAGTTAATACTTTTCCTTTGCTATGTTAAGGAAGTGGCAAAAACCACACACACTTACAAAAATAGCAGGGTAATAATTCTTGGCATTTCTCTGACAGGTTTATTCTGAGTTACTGTAAGTGTTCGTATAGGCATTTTCTCATTGTTCTTCAAGATCATTCTGCCGGCAGCAGGCGTAATTATTGGCATTTTGCAGATGGAAAAACCGAGGCTGTGTCTATGCTGCAAAGTGGAAAATATAATTAATGGAAATATCCAGAGAACCCTAACTCACAGATTCCAGAGCTGGAATATTTGTGCAACCGAAGCAGAGAACAGTTGAGAAGTCTTTGTTGACAGAATTAGTGCCTGAGGGAAATGCCTCAGCCGGTGAGAACAAAATGACCCACCGACTCCTTCCTTGATATATTTCATTATACTGGATGTAGGGAATAACCAGTAGAAGGAAAATTGTTAGCACAAATATTGCCTAATGATCAGAAACCATAATGTTACGTAAGGTTATCACACACCTTGGTGAAAGATCTGTCAGCATTTTAGTGGAAACTGTATCTACTGTACAACCACAGCAGAATCTATTTGTCCCACTTACTTCGGCAAACAGTTCTTGAACGCATAGTTAGTTCTGGGTTCCAGATCCAGTAATGAGACTACAACGGACTTCAGAAGGAGGCAAAAATCAATACAATGCAGGGCGTCAAGGGCCCCTTGGGGCATGAGCAGAGCTATTTGAGAGTGCAGAAAGAGGCTCTGCATTAGGGCCATCAGCGTGTGCAGTGGCTGGTGGTGACAGAGAATCCTGAGAAAGAAAGAACTCTCTAAAGGAGAAGAAATTTGCTTAGGACTTTGAAAGGGAGATTTTACCAGTGGACAAAGAGCATCCCGGGCAGGGCGAGACAGCTTAGGTTGCGGAGGGCATATTTGAGGAAGAGCAAGTTATTCCTTTTAGCTGCAGAGCGAAGTGCAAGCGGCGGGAGCTGGGGTGCAAAGGCAGAAAAGAAGATGAGGGCCAGACTCTGGCGCTGAGTAAGACAGCCACGCACAACAAAAGGTATATGTTGCCGATATTTATATCATTTTTCAAGCACATAGAAGAAGGAGAGGCTCCTCGAATTAATTTCGTTGAGCATTTCAGCCACAGCCTGAACTGAAGCTGAAGTGACACGTTTAGTCCTGGCTCAGTGTGGCTGCCGGAGCTGCCGCTGATAGTTTTCAACCCCGTGACATTCGCATCCATGACACAGGAAAGCCCTCCAAGACCCCTCCACGTTGGAATGCAAGAGAATAACAGCATTTTTATAGGCATCACTTTGAATCCAGCCGTGGGTCACTCTGAAAGGAAATCATTTACAAAGTGGGTACTTTTAATAAGGTTTAGGATCAGATTGCTCCCACTACCCTCCCTATTGGCTGAGAACACTCATTCAACCCATTGTCCACCTACTATGTGCCCCAGAGACCTAGACGGACATGAACGCTGCCCTCCGAGTTTACAGTAGATGAGGAGAGATGGATGTTCAAAAAATGCCCATAGAAACATATAACTTAAACGTTTTATACGTCCTATGAATGAAAAAATAGAGTTCAATAAGCTTGAAAATAGAAAGCTGATTTGAGTGGCATGTGGAGGTAGGTAAAAGAGCAATTGAACAGTTTTCTAAAGAAGTGATATATGCCTTGAGACCT